ATATGTCTGTACACAGGGCTGGCATCCAGCTTCGCAAAGTAACTCTTGCCTAGTCTGCGCGGACAACCATCAAACCGCCAACAAAAAGCGCGCTTGTTTACCTTGCGAAAGAGTACAGTCGAGCATTTGTGCACACAACGGATATATGCTTCATCCCACCTTTGTCGTCAGCGTTGGAAAATTGAATGGTTGTTTTAGCTGAAAATATGCGCAAGACCAAAAGAATACATGTCATGCCGGAACATGGCCCACCCAAATTGTACATGTGACATTGTGCCAGTGTCATCAAGCTGGGATAAACATGTTTTACTTTCTAAAAACCATTTCACTTTAAATGTATATGCTTGCGTCCACGCGAACATAGGCCCTATAGCAGCAAAATGGAGGTCACTTTGTCCTGCCAGGTTAGCTGTTTAATCGTTCCAATGAAAAGTCTTCAAAAGTGACGGAAGCAGCTGAGCAACTGGCGCACCTCTGGACTATTGCCATAGTAGCAAACGAAACTATGCTTACATCGTAGCGGTCTTTACAATTCCCATTCATGCCAAAGAAAGGAAGCGGGAGTCCCAACCTCAGCTCAGCTTAGAAATCTCTAAATGTCCCAACCCACTGCACTCCCTTAAGTGGGCAGTTCGTTAACAGCTTAAATGCTTCTTCTTCCTACAAGGGTGCAGCAATTGGTAAACCAGTTGCCATTATTGAGACCCAAAACGACAGCCAGTCAACTGAAAAAGACAACTGGACAGCATAAGCGTCAGTTGCTGCCAAATGAGTGCCATAAAATGAAACCATGACTGAATAACCAGCATTAGCAAACCTGGATTGTCACAGCATGATTTGCTATTATCAGTGCCACTCACAAATCCAGAAAAAGCAACAAGACCTTTTGCTCTTAAGCCGAGAACAAGCAGGCGCAACCATGGTGTCTTATATCTTGTGTGCACATAAGCTCCCGAATTCAGCTCCATTTCAATAAGGGGTAAACTGATAGACGATCGTAATCAATGGGGTTGCGTCTGTAATGCCTTTGATGTCTTTGTTAACCCCACTACGCTGCAACGTCTCGCGCGCAACCCAAACACACTGCACCGCGATGAGCCTCGATTACTTACAGTAACACTAAGTTCCGCGGATGAAACGTAGGCCATTCTGCTGTCATTGAATCGCTTCCGCATTGCGTCCAACGGCGTGCACATAATACCGGGTATATCGTGGAAGGAACGTTCAAAATGTTTGAACAACCTAGATGTAGGTCAAAAACGATTTAAAAAGCGCCATAGTCCACGGTGTCCCCAAGTCCCAAGCCTACACTTTCGACGAAGCTCAGACACATGACCGGAAACAATAAGGCACTCTCCTTTGATGTCGTTGCTACTTCGTTGACAAATGTTCCCATGCCTCATGTTTATAAACGATATGGTCCTAGATTGCTGAAGTTGTTTTGACAATATGGGCTAAGGTTACAGACCATCCTAGAGTAATAGGCTGAGTTCCGCAAAATGCCCCCAACAGAAATTCGACTGAAGGCAGCAGCAACACGACCACGGTCTACTGATTACGCAATGGAGGTGGCAAAATCAGTGAAAACTTCCGTTGTAGTGTCCAGCGCAGCGACTAATCTAACAGCAATCATAACATCCGGAGGGAAATCGTAGGATGAGAGCGACGATCAGTGGCATCTTGACCTACAGCGTATGGTGTGGCAATGTATCTCAACTGGTGTTTTCTCAAAAGAAACTGGCTGCAGCAGACCTCATGAGTGTCGGCCATGTTTCAAATCCGAGGTCTACTGTTACACCAATAATTTAACATTTAAAACGCCCACTTTTATTTATACCAACGCACAAGATCTTTTCAGCAAACTGATGGATCTCCTACCACGTCACGTTTCAAGGTCGTGGGACCTTATCATGGTAACCGAGACATGGTAGATTGAAGAGTTCACTTACACCGAAATCGTACTACCGGAATGTCCATTCTGCGAGACGACTGGCGGAAGAAAATTGATGGTGTACTACTCCAATTCCGCAACGAGCTGTATCTTGATCGCATTGCCGAGCAGGATGTTCAGCTCTTTGACGCGCTTCGGTGTCGTCTTCAGTAAGAACTGGTATTGTAGTGGTCGATAGAATACTAGGTAGGTTTCAGACCCTTAGTAAACGCAAAAACTTGGAAAGAATCAACTCTCAGGCTAATTACAGTTGAGTTCGAATTGTAGATAGTGCTATACCTGTGGCACACGTCGAGTACGATGGAAATAGACGTGCAACAGTAATTCCGAGTCTGATATCCGATCAGCAAGCAGACTGGACGGCACTGTACGCACGCAGAATCAGTACAGTCAAAAATCAGCACGAGGGAGCGCGGGGCACGAAGAAGTATGTTGTAATCGTTACTTCAAAAATCTGTACAAAAGATGTCAAGATAAAATGGATGATAGGAAAGACAAAATATGAAAGATTAATAACCACTACAGCGTTGTGTATTGCCCTCCGTAGTCCACTTCATAAATCGGTAGTCGCCTAGCCTCCACTATGAAAACTATTCCCCTAGGGTCGAATAGTCACATTATACTGGTTAGTGACTCAAAATTGCACTAACAAGACGTGTCACGTAAAGGAATGGCATGCGGCCAACGAGTAAAACGGTTAACACAAATCAGAATGAAAGTGAAATTGTTCGATGGAGAAAGCGGTCCGACTATGTCTAGGTGGACATGTCTAAAACGCGCCTCAGGTAGTGAGAATGTTCTGGGGGCAGAGATAGTGTGTCTGTGTACTTTGCTGCTCTGGCAGCTGAGACAGTGTTTAGCCCATTGACGGATATCGGAGTGCATACTATGCCAGATGTAACGATCAGTGATCAACTTCACAGTAGATCGAATGCTAGGATATGATAGTCCATGAAAATGGTCAAAGACGGTTCGCCGAAAAGACTAGGGAAGAAATGGTCTTGGTTTACCGGTAGAGACATCGCAGTGAATACTTGTGTCTGAGTTTAACATAGATATTTGCAAGAATTTCAATGTGATATTCGATCGAAGCTGAGTGAGTTCAGGATCGTTGTTCTGAGCAACAGACATTTATTTAAGGCCTATTGGAGAGGATGAAAGTTGATATATGTGAGCACGTGAACGTTCATCAGCGACAACATTATTTGGACCGTCGAGGTAGCGAATATCGACACAGAATTGTGAGAGGTAATCCAGGTGTTGTGCCTCTCTCGGAGAATAATGGTCGGAAGCGGCACGAAAAGTGTAGACCAACGGTGTGTGGTCCGTTAGAATTACAAGACGTGGTTCGTCAAGGACGTGACGAAAGTGTTTGACGGCCAAGTAGATCGCGATAAGTTCGCGACCCAAAGTACTATACCTCATTTGTGCTGGCTGTAGCTTCAGAGAAAAGAAAGACAGCGGCTGAATCACATTGCCGATTAGTTGTTGTAGTACAGCACCGACAGCGGATTGTGAGGTATCAGTCTTGAGAACGAGTCCAAGTGTCTAAGTAGCTCAGGGAAGTGACCTGGCTCAACTTCTGCTTGATGGTAACAAACGCTGTTTCGGCTTCTGGCGTAATGGTGAACTTCTTTGAATTAACTTTAAGTAAATTAGTCAAAGGCTAAAGAATGGTGGCACAATTGTCAATGAATCTTCCGTAATAATTAACCAGGCTAAGGAATCGGCGTAGATTTTCAACGGATTAAGGCAGTGGATAGTCCATGATTACCTGGGTTTTTCAGGGATGGGATTCATGCCTTTGCTATCAATTTTGTGACCAAGAAAATCGAGGCTAGATTGGCCAAACAGGCCTTTATCAGGGTTAATGGTTATCCCATGATGATCGACAGAGCCAGCCAAGTTCTTGAACTCTTACGGAGAGCCTTCGGAAATTCCGAACAATTAATCTTTCCGCAAATGCCGAAGGCCTACGTGAGGCCCCACGTGGAATACGCGATCCAGGCCTGGTGTCCCTGGCGCGAGCGCGACGTCGATGCACATGTAGTCCAGCAAAGTAGAACGACCAAATTCATTAGGGGGTTCGTTCAACTTCCATATGAAAACAAACTGCAAGCCCTGCCATTGTACATTGATGAATATTGACGTCAGTGAGGAGACATCATGGTTTACTTGATACTGGTGAACACAAATCACACCTATTGTGATCTGTTGCAAGTGAGCCAAAATACCGAAAGGAGAAGCCGTCAGCTCAAAATTGCCACTCACTACAGTCGGCTTGATTGCTAGCAAATTGTTTTCTTCCTTCGGCTGTCTCCAACGTGGAGGGTCCTTGCGTTAACGTTCTCCGAAAAATAACTTTATGGCACACTATTTTAACCCGCGTTACCTTGTATAGTCCGTTTTCTTCGGAGGACGAAATAACGCGAACCAAACCATGTGCTCAAAAGCTCTCTCCACAACGTGGCGGTTAGGAAACCTGTATCGGTGTCCATATGAATAGTTTGGACGTACCCAAACTAGAGTTAGGTGTCACATCGGTCCAATGAAACGGAACAGGATAGAGACTTTTGATTTATTCTTTTTAGTTTTTCTTACGAATTACCTGAGCTATAACTATTCGACATATTACTTGGTGCGCGCACAATCAATTCCCCTTTCAAACTATTGTTACGCAACAGTGCAGCCAAATCGGTAGATACTTAAACCGAGGATTCAATTATCCTTTCGTCCTTTTAATTTTAATTTTCACTCTAGCCATCCTGTGGGACTTGTCAAGAATCGGCATTTTTACCCGGGATAACTTGTTGTTCATTGTCTACATCATGACAGGATGAATGGTCACGGTTGGTCTAATGTCAGAGCAATTTAACAGTTTAAGTTGCTACAAGCCAAATTCACGTTTGACTGTACGCTGGAATTAGCAGTTAGTGCCTCTAGCAAAGAATCGACCATTACAACTATTGATGACGGCTGGTTACGCTTGGTCTTTTTTACGTATCTTCTTGTCTATGGACAAAAAAGCACAACATTGAAATTCACGTGTAAAAATTCTAATGTTTATTTTTGCATGAATACTACAATAAGAAACAAAGAATAAAGCTATCCACGGTCGTTGGTTTGGTGTCATTTACCTTAAGGTGCTTTGAATAGTAATATCGCCTTATCTCCGTATTCAAAGTCAACAAAATTCTCCAGCTCGTAAGTGATGTAACTAAAGGAAAAATGAAAAATTTAGTTGGTAGATTTGTAAATTGTTTCACAGCTTTTACGCGCGTTATAGAATAATGGACGTTTACCTGCTGTATTGTGCCCCAACTACACACTGCCACATCGGTTTGTACTTATCATCCATTTTCATCTTAATATGTTTGGCAATCTCCGTTTCTAAGTTGAATTTTGCGCACGCCTCCGCGGTCATCTCAATCACATCTTGAAACATGGCCTCACTGATCTCTGACTGCTTGACGACGGTTCTCAACTGAGACATTTGTATCCAGTTTGCTCAGTAGCGAACAGCAACGTGAGTCAATAGCTAAGTGTTGTTAAAGACGTTGGATGCAGAACACAAGTTTGTCCTAGACTGGAACCCTTGTATTAGCAACAATTACACACCCTGTGTTTAAGATGGAGTCTGTCTGTATGTGCACTGAAAATTGCGGTCGGTACCTAATCACGATCATGCGTAGCTGCAATGTATACCAGTGAACGCTGCACAAACAACAGCTTACAACAAGCCTTGTGCTTGTCTACATTGTGTACCTTGCTTCATCTCCTCGATTTGCGTTTGTAAGCACATGTCTGCTAGTGTTCTCATGTGTGCTGGTTTTCAGTACGGCGGTTACTGTCAACTAACTATCAGCTAACTCAAACCAAATCGACCGAGGTAAAGACAGACAGACCCGAAAAAGTGGCAGCAAGTTGATACGGTAGACTGGTGGCAAAAGATGGGCCACTCTACTTGCCAAATGAATCCTTACTTGACCTAGGTTTGGTGTCGTTCATGGCACCATGTTAGCCTTTCTCGAACCTACGACATTTGAGCAAAGCTTATAGATTGTTAATCGAAAGTGGTCACACCGATCTTCATCCTTGAAGGCGCGCAACGCTACTCAGGAGAGTCAAATTGTGTAACGAATCCATTCCGTTTAGAAAACATCATGCCTACTCTATTTCTCTTCAGTTATTGTTTATGCATGTAACTAAACCTATCCTGCTAAATACGAATCCGCCTTATGTCAGCAAGAAGTAAATAACAGTCCACTCAACCATAATATTAGCAATGAATAATGATTACTGCCGGGTAACAAAGCAGTTGCTTAACCAGTCCCGCAGAATGGTGAGCGTGAAACTACAATTATCAAAAGATAGGTGAGTTGTCTGTGTGGACGTTTATCTAGCAGATACGCTGCTGAAGAATAGTAGTGTAAGTGGGAATCGAATGCGAGCGACGAGGCAACATGGGGACAGTTACAGTTGCTGTACTCCATGAGAAAGGTAAAAAGGAGAACATTCACTTCTGTACCGCCTCCTCAGAGTTATGTGACATGTTCATCCGGTCTAAAAAGATAATTAATATATTCCAAAGCAGCACCGTTTAGGCAACGAAGTGATGGGGGCCAAGGACAAGATCCAATCGTTTTTGTGAATATCCAAGGTGGAGGTGGAAACAACTACCTTTGGGAGAGAGTTCCAGGGTTGGCAAACAAGAAGCAAAAATTAATTCCACCGGCATTCTAGGCGGCTATACTGTGCACACTATTTCAAAAGATTACCTCTGAAACTGGTATTATGGCTGTGTTTCAGTAAGTGAAGGCTTACGTGATTAAGTTCATTCAATAGTTGATAGACTAGTATGATATCAGAGGAGTAGCAAGGGGGTTGAATGGTATAGGTAGAAATTCGTCACATCTACACTCACTCAGACAGCCGTCACACACCAGGAAAAACACTGTAAGCGCATTTCATCCTTTCGGGAATCGTCCACAGTGCACATTCCATCAGACCCTGGTAGGGTTCGAACCCGCAACTCGACTGTTGCCAGTCCATGGTTTAGATCACTGAGCTACGCGGGATGTTAACGACCATCATGAAGTAGTTATTAGATGTGATTTAGCGCCGCTCTATATGTGACTTTTTTCAACCTATAACATTCAACTCCCCCTACTACTCCTCTGTTATCAGTACGCAGACCAAACTTCTCATAATTGGTGGCTTAAGTTTGGTAAGAATGTCGCTTTGTGAGGAGGCTACCCTGTCCACTGCACGGCAGCAACGTGTAAGTCAGTGGAAAATGAACGGCGCTATATCACGTCTAGTAACTAATTCACGATGGTCGTTACCGTCCCCCGTAGCTCAGTGGTCTCAACCACGGACTGGCAACAGTCGAGTTGCGGGTTCGAGCCCTACCAGGGTCCGATGGAATGTGCACTGTTGACGATTCCCGAAAGGAGGAAAAGTGCCTACAGTGCTTTTCCTAGCGTATGACGGCTGTCTGAGTGAGTCTATATGTGACGAATTGCTACCTAATATGTTATCGCTGCGCAGCCTTCGGTAGCAACCACTGAAAACTCTTAGTGACTTCAGCCTTTGAAGCTAAGGTAGATTTCGTAGACACTTGAGGTTCTTTGTGGCCCTACGTTGTGGTTCCTCTAGCACTTCAAGTCGTGCTTCAACCAAGCTTGCCTGGCTTGGATAGCGTATTCAAGGTGAGGAAGCATGTAAGAATTATACGTCATGGGGAAGATGGATGAGTCAAATGTTCCGAATGTTCTCCGCAGCAAGCTGACGTGCTGTTTGACACTTTTCGCAGCTGCCTCTGACTGCTCTGAACAGTTAAGGTCACGTTGAAAGAGCACACCAAGGTCGCTTTCTTGGGATGTTGTTTGCAATACACGTGACCCAAGCCTATACAAGAAGTCCTGCCTATGGAGCAGTTGAACAGTGTGAGATTTTTCCACATTGAGCGGTAGTGTATTCAAAACTGACCAGGTCTAAATCCAGATGAGGTCAAGCTGGAGCTTTTCGTGGTCGTTCTGTTCTTTGATTGCTGGCCACAACTAGATAGCATCCGCGAATAATAGGAAATCGAAGTAATTTCCATCGCCAGATCGTTCGTGAACATCAAGAATAGACGGGGCCGAGTATCGGCGTTTGTAGTAGACCGCACTCCACAACAACTGCTTCGGACGGGGATTCTCATGCAATTCCAAGTGACGTTCGTGCAGGAAATTGCCTATCCAAAGCAGCAGTGGGTCACCAGTAACATAGAACTGCACTTTATGGAGGAGTACTCGGTGGTCTAAGCGATCAAATCCTTTTGAGAAGTCCAGGTAGATGTCACCAGCTCCTGATCTACAATGAACCGGTAGTTACAAAGTGCTTCCCAAGAAAGCGATCTGGGGGTGATCGTGTGGTAGATCTTGGTTGCTCGAGACAAGCTGGAATGGCATCAAAAGGAGCCAGTCAAAATCTTGGACTCTTACAGAGAGTTTTGGGTAATTTTGAGCCATCAATCTTTCCGCAGATGCTGAACTGCTACGTGAGGCCTCACGTGGAATATGCGATCCATGTCTGGCGCAAGCGCGAAGCAGATGCACTCGAAGCTCCACAACGTAGAGCGACCAAACTCGTTAGAGGATTGGTTCATCTCTCCTACCAACGTAGACTGTAGGTCCTGAGATTGTACAGTGGTGATTATCGACGTCAACGAGGAGACCAAATCATGGTTTACTTAATACTGACGAATCCAACACACGCTTGTCGCAATCTGGTGCAGCTGAGCCAAAATACCAATCTGAGAGGCCAACAGCTGAAACTGCCTACGCACTACAGTCGACTTGATTGTCGAAGCAACGTTTTCTCCCTCCGTGTGTCCCGTGCCTGGAATGCCCTTGCGATTCACGTTATCATTGCCCCTACATTAACGCTTTTCAAAAAACGCCACGATGAAAGGCTTTCAAAATAGCATTACTTGATATAGTCGGTTCCACTTGGAGGACGAAATAACGCAAACCTAACCATGTGCTTAACCGCCCTCCCCGCAACGTGGCTGTGAGGATACATGCAGACGTGTCCATGTGAGTAGCATGGATGTATCAAAAATGGAGTAACATAACACATGTGCCAAATGAAGCAACACACAAGTGAGCCTTATTTCTTTCTTTCTCACACAGTTAACTATGACAGCTCGCTATATTATTTTGTGTGTGCAGATCCCATTCCCATATAAAACTACCGTTATGCAGCAATGTATTTAAATCGGTAGACGCTTAAAATGATGATTTACTTATTCGATGATCGTACACATTTTAATTTTTGCTCCAACCATCCTACGGGACTTGTCAAGCACATGCATTTTACCCGTGATAAACCATTGTACGTTTGTCCTCCTGATTGTCATTTGGATGATTGCATACACAACGCAATAGTAGCTGTCGGTGTTGAACAGAAATAGTAAACCAGACTGAATCTTCAACGATTCGCAGCAATAACTGATCATTACACGTTGCAGTATAAATGTTTTAGATCGTGCGACGCGGAATTTGCCACGTACGGATGCAAAAACTTACGGAAAAATGAAGGAAACCGAAGACAACACAAAATAAGATAGGATTTGAAAAAGGTAGTGCATGCTTGGCAGCTTGGTAGATAAACGACTGAGACGGAAGTTTCAAACGAAGTAAGATACTTAAATCTTTGACGGTTGGATGAGGCCGTTGACGACTGATACAGCTCCTTCAGTATCCACTATCCACGAAGACGACACAGATCAGTTTGACCAATTCTCTCAGTCAACCCATTCAAATGACAAACAATCTCGGAGACCCTTGTGAATGCCCAATGAAGGGCAGCGAAACTTATATACAGGTCGCTATCCTAGCGATTGCTGGGCGCATTGTTATGTTTTCGCGTGTCCGCCCGTAGCCTAGAGGTAATGAGCTTGTCTCATGATCCTGCAGTGCGGGTTCGAATCCGCGTAGGAGTGGGCGTCCTCGCAATATGCTCAGCTCGCATGCGACTGGTAGTGGTCACATAGCAGCGAAGCGCCGTTACGGCCTACAGCTGACAGGTTATTTTATGTTTTCGCGTAAAGCACTCAACATCGATAACTAAAATGTTGGCAGACTAATCGACCAGCAAACGAATGAGCGTCCAGAGCAATGCAATGCATTGCTTGCGATGGAACCCGCCTGCTACGGCAATGACGCTGCTGCACCCAGTGAGACTCGGTTTGATGTCCAAAACAAGCTGCATGAGACGTGTGCTGGCTACAAGTTAGATGGGAAAACTCTCACAGCACCACGTGAACCTGGAGTCAGATTTGTACTATCCGACCGCCCAAATGGCAGGCTGGTTGCAGACCCGACTGCCAACAACACTCTACTGCGGACACTTCGACTGCGACTTTGAAGGTGTAAATTTACCACTTGTATTTATATTGACTCTCCCACCATGTGTGCTATCTTGATGACACGATGGATCCGTTTTCTCTTGTCTTGTCCTCCGTGATACTGTCTGTGTGGAGTACCGACAGGCTGTTCCCACAGGGTGTTTTCAACGCTGGCGTTAGGCGCGATCCCGTGGGGTGAACAGAAGAAATCAGACCACACGATATTAGCACAGCCATTGTGAACGGTGGTCACCTGCGCTCGCTGTGCGCCC